ACCTTTCTCTAGGTCCTAAAGGCCTCACCACACTCTGAGGGCATCCTCTCAGGACAACGAGGTCACCACACTGGCGGCGTACCTCTAAAATAATGAGGTTTCTGGTTTTCCCCATTTAAAGTAGCAACTGAGAAGCAAGGTGGTTTCTATTGGGGGCTTGAAAACATCCATGTTAATAAAAGCCACATTGGTAAACACTCAAATCTGGCCTAATCCATTATCTGTTGACACGGGGCAGGCTGAACCTAGAGCTTTCCAGGGAAAAAAAACACTTGCAAGATTCCACTCACTAATGGATAGTACTTTTTACCAGAAGAGAAATTCTATTGACTTTCCTCCTAATTATCCTTTCTTAGTTATTTTCTCTTTGCAAGTTGAAAAGAAAAAGTAACTGAAAGGAAAACATTGTAGATATCTGTTTATATTTAAAGTTTACATTTCATGAGCGTCAGCTGCGGAATTTGGGCTTTTTTATTTTTATTTTTATTTTTATTTTTATTTTTATTTTTTTTTTGCCACTTTCCATCAGGCCTGACTTGGAGGGAAGATGACTCAGAAATAGGGTGCACAGACTAATGTTATCTGTTGAGGGCAGAGAATGACCTGCGGCCTAGAATGCTATTTTGAGATGTATGATATTCAATTCATTCACTTGATTACTTTGGTCCAGTTGCAGCGCAACTGTATATACTGTATAACCTAAATGGATTATTTTCATTGTCTTTAATGCAGTGATTTATAATTAGAGCATGTTTAATAAATTGACATCCTGTTAACCAGTTATTTGACTGGAAGAAAATAAAGTATTTTTAAATGGAAAAAAAAAGATTCCATTCACGTTCTATATTTAATCAGTTCAATGAAGCACTTTATCAAGTTCTTTGTTGTTGTACGTAGTGGAGTAAGGACAGAGTTTACAAAATATTTTTAAGCCGATTCCTTATAGTCAGAGCAACAGCAGCATTTCACTGAAGGATACCACCACTAAACAGTTCCAGACAGAGTCCCTCATTTCCATGGACAGCTTCTCTGGCTGAACAGAAATCTGTCAGATTTCTGCTACTTAGCTAGCCCCCACTTTGCATTTATCCCCAGAGATATGAGGGCCTTCCCCATCTTTGTAGCAAAAACTCCTACACTGCAGGAATCTTAAATTCCTCATGCTGACAGTGTAACTTGCTTCTCACCAGATCCTCACCTCTCTGATCATTCAGTCTCTCTCAGTCATCCAGACCTTCCGACTCAAAACATGGCGGGGAAGGTCCGCATCACCCCAGCAAGCTCCCAGCACTAGAGCACATGGCAATTCCAGCTGCCATGGAATTCTTATACCAGAGTGTATGTGGGGCCTGCTGTGAGCCCATGCCTTGTTTCCACACTTACAGTCCTTGGCCATGCCTACAGGCACCCTCAGACACTGTGTCTTCTTTCCCAGAAATACAAACCTTCAGTCTTTTAACATTCTGATGCTGATAACCCCTCCCATACTCTCTCTCTCTTTCTATTTCTCTCTCTCTCTCTCTCTCTCTCTCTCTCTCTCTCTCTCACACACACACACACACACACACACACACACACATAATTATATATTTGAATTACATGTAGAATTCAAAACATTACCACTCCAGTATAAATCAGATTAGATACGTTTAAAATTCTTGCTATATGTCCTTAGAGCCATTCATCTATTTCTTCCCCAGATTGTATCTGGTGCCCATACTGACCCCAAGAACAACTCTCATGCCCCTGGGCTGCCTTTCTCTTTTAGTTCTGTCACAGCTGGTGGCAGCACCATCTTCTGTAGGGCAGAAATGTCAAAGCCCTGCCTTCAGTTGTCCCAGTCACACTACTGGTGGGCGCCGAGTGGCTTTTAGGAAGCCAGTGGCCTACAAAGCAGCATCCATCACATGCTTTTCACCTGCTTCCTCCCTGACTCTCCCTCATTTCGCAAGCAGACTGCTGGAGTAGAACTGCTCCCGGTATGAGAAGCCTGCTGCCCTAGCCCTCTCTGGGAAGCACCCACATTGGCATTAATGCCATGTGCCACGGAATTCCCCAGAAGACTGCACAGGAACTCTGCTGTTTTCATTCATACAGGGAAAAAAAAATGCTTATGATGTTTCTATGCCCTGTGTGCAGTGTCCTGAGGAAGACAGGGTCACTTCCCTTTGACTAGCTTCCTTTACCTTAGCGGAATTCAGCAGAGTCAAGCATATGTTCTTTAGTTTTAAAAGACAACTCCCAGAGACTAGGTAACATATAAACAACAGAAGCTAACGTAGCTTGTAACTGTGGAGGAGAAGCAGTCAAGTGTGGTGTCTGCATCCAGTAAGGGCCTGCTTGTTCCACTGTAACTACCATAAGGCATCATGTGGCTGTCCAGAGCACTTGTTCTACCTAGGCCTGTCTTCCTCTTCTTATAGAACACTTTGTAGTCAGCTGTGCATTACTAAATGAAATACCCAAAGCAAGGAGTTGATCGAGAAACGTGTGTTTAGTTCTTGATCTGGAGGTTCCAGGCAAAGAGCAGATAGGGCTTTAGTGAAAGCAGCTAACAATAATGATGTGGAGCAAACGGCACACATCAGGAGTTGGGGAGCAGAGGACCCAGCACCCAGGGAGAATAGAGTGCCCCTTTCTAAGCAGACACCACCATCCATCTAAGGACCTCCCACAAGGTCCTCAGAACAGGTTCTCACCCTGGGAACCAAGCCTTTCATGAATGAGCCTTCGAGAAGTGTTTATCCAAACGATAGCAAAGTGGGCGCAGACACTGGTGAGTTTGAATCTACCCCCAAAGATAGCTAAGAACTCTGATACTCCAGAGCCCAGTGTCCTCTCCTGCCACATAGCTAGAATCTGGCCCCTGAGGGAAGTTATAAAGACTGCTGGTTTGCAAAGTCTCAGATCAGAGTCTTGGAGGGAAAAGCGTTTTGAGAATTCCCCATTACAGAATTTCTCAGTGTTGTCCTATGCACGGGCTGAGTTCAGCCTCTGGGTTCATTCTCACTGCTGCGACCTCAGAGCCCATGTTCTGGTTTTTACATCTCATCCCATTATTTGTCAGCAAGTCTTTTCTGCAGAGAGTTAATGGGATAATGTTGGCAGTAAGTGGGCACCTGGGACTGCTGTGCTGTGGTCGCCTCCCAGATCTGCCATTTGCTAGCTGTGTGACCAAAGTAAGTTCTTTGACTGAACTGTCCATCTGCCACTTCAAAATATATGGTGGCAACAGCATGCCCTTGTTGGGTTGAATGGCAGATGCCATTGAATGACCAGAAATCTGGTCCAAGGTAAGTGCTCCAAATGCTGTTGGTGCCAGGCAGAGCCTTACGCTGTGGAACCACTGTAGGATGGGTAGGAAGCTACTTGTAGCACCCCGGTCCCAGTGCCAATTATCTGCTGCTTACCTCATTTCACTCAGCTGCCCAGGCTGGGAAGGGCTAGGACAGTTTCTGCAGTTACAGACGAGTAATCAGGCATGGAGAAGTTAGGTGACCTACCTAGGATAGCTACACCTTTAGGTAAAAGAGCCAAGCCTCTGAGCCAACCATTTTTTCTCTTGGTGTCTGGACCTCAGATGTCCCAGGCAAGAGGAATTTGGTGAATAAGATCATCTAGCAGGCTGTGAGCCAGGTAGGTCACTTCAACTGTATATTCTCCATTGTAAAGTGATCTTGGATCCCCCCAAAAGTCCATTCAAACACATGCCTGAATTCACCCCAGGGGGCCCAGGAGTCATGTTCTGGCTGCTACTCTGGGGACCAAACATTGAGAATCCTTGGCTAAAAATGCTGTTCAAAAATTATGTCAAATGGGGGCTGGAGAGATGGATCAGTGCTTAATAGTACTTCATGTTCTTAAGGAGGCCCCAGGTTTAGTTTTAAGGCTCCATGTCCCACAATAGCTCACCATAGCCTGTAACTCTAGCTCCAGAGGATCTGACCGCCAAGCCTGCTCATGGTGTGTGTGTAAATACGCAGGCACTCCCACCTATATGCCAAATAAAAGCAAATAACTGTTTCTTAACCCTGTCAGGTAAACACCACACTGATTGTTTTTCTTAGCAAAATGTACCTCCTTAACTCTTACAAGTCTGTAAAAACATTTAGAGAAATTATGACTTCTGGTATCGCTACAGCTTCTACTGGCCATTCCATGTGGGATTCATCCCAGAACCATTAGTGTTAAAGGAAAATGTGTGTGCAATGTGTTACATTTTCTTTTTTTATTTAAAAAGAAAAGGTGAATAATAAAACTACATGATTAACACAGGATTGCAGTCAACAGCATTTTTTATCTTTGTTAACCTACAAGCATCCTTCTGTTTGAAAAACTCTTAACCTGTTCTATTCATAAACTGTTCCAGTTAACCCTTTAGCAAATGAAGGAGATGTAAAAAGGACACTGGTACCCTAAGGCACAGGTTGGACATGTCACTGTGAGATGAAAAGGAAACCAAATGCAAAGAAAATGGAACTTGGAGGAAGAAGTTAGGATCAGAGCTAGAAACAGCAAAGATTTGTTCCAAATCCATTGTGCGTATGCATAAGAGGACGCTTTGGGGCCTGTGAAACAGTTCTTGTGAGTTGTGCTCATGCTCACCGGTCCTTAGGGAGGTGTCACCAGATATCCAGTCACTACCTACTGCTGGGTATTGTGAGCACAGAGGATTCAGTCCCAGGTCCCCCACCACGTCCTTGAGATCCCACAAGCCCCCACTGCTCTACCTTTATGCATACCCATAATATCTCTATAAGTAGCCCCTTCCTGATTTACCAGATGCTCCTTGCCCAGATGCCTCAGTGCATCCCCTAGGTGCTCTCCACGCTGTCTAGGGGCCTGGCGCATGCACAGCTCAGGCTGCCCACCCTGAGGTACAGGCTCAGAACTGCTCAGAAGCTCAGATTGTCTATTTGATGCCTTGTTGCTGCTGTGTTGCTATCTTGTGCCTTGTTTTTGCAGTGACACTGAGTGGCCTCCTGTGTTGTCTCTTTCAGCCAGTAATGTTAAAGTAGAGACTCAGAGTGATGAAGAGAATGGGCGTGCCTGTGAAATGAATGGGGAAGAATGTGCAGAGGACTTACGAATGCTTGATGCCTCAGGAGAGAAAATGAATGGCTCCCACAGGGACCAAGGCAGCTCGGCTTTGTCAGGAGTCGGAGGCATTCGACTCCCTAACGGAAAACTAAAGTGTGATATCTGTGGGATCATTTGCATCGGGCCCAATGTGCTCATGGTTCACAAAAGAAGTCATACTGGTAAGGCCTGGCGTAGTTTTTCCTTTAGTGTCTCAAGAGGTCCTGTGGGTGCTGAAGGAGCAAAATGTGCAGTCAAGGGGATAAAGCTGAGTAGTACGGCACCTGCCTAGCACGTGCATGTCCCTTAGTTCAAAGTGCAAAAGGAGGGAGGGAAGGGGAACGTGGTCTTGAAGCATGTACGCAATTGACCAGCAGGGCAGCGGCTGCACATAATTGGCTCCCAAGTTGTACTGTGGCACAACTTTCTTATTCTGGGGCAGTGTTTGAAAGGTCCTCTCAGCGTGGACCTATCAACCCTATAAACAAAAAAGGAAGGTTAACAGTATGCGTGTGCCACATTCTGAGGGTCTGATATTATATTCACTTTAAAAAAAAACTCAGCCATAGTGTTGACTCTCATGTGCAAAGCATCCATCCTTCACAAGACAACATCAAAAGCTTAGAGACACACCACAGCTGACCTCACAAGTTTCCCACTGAGAAACTAGAAATACTTGTTTAACGAACGTGTCGACACTCGGGGGCTCTGTTCAGAGGCATTAGTGGGTGGTGGCCAAGTAGCAAAACTATTTTTTTTTTCACAAAGGGTGCAGATCAGCATGAGGTGGTTCACCCTGCAGGCTGAATCTCTGGGTCAGCTGGCCATTTGCCATGAGTTTTCGGCCCAGAGCGGTAAGGAGCTTTCTGGCAAACTCCTGTTGCAGGGACAGGTTTGCAGGAGGCTTTGGGAGAATGAGAGAATGCAATAGTCTGTTCCAAAGGGAATAAATGTAGAGTATCTGGGGTCCAAGAGTCATGCCTACCCCTGCTGTTGGCAATGTGGGAAGTCTGCCCATCTTCAGTTGGCCGCACCACACCTGTTCCACCTCCCTCCTGTAAACAACCATGTTTATGAACAGTCACCTACTGTTCACCATAACTGTCACTCTACCATCACTAAAGGCACCAAAGGGTTCCTATAAAACATTGATGGCATTTGGTGCATTTGTTTGCAGGGCATAAGGTTTCTTTAGAACTAAAGAGATACATTACTCCTTCTTCCATGGAAGTTTTTTGAAGGGTAGGTATAACCTGGTGGATTCACCAACTCTCATAGCCACAGAAAGCTTGCATGTAAAACTTAGACACCCTAAGCCATCACTACCTACATACTGGCTTCTTTGGGGCCTGAGAACACTGGCATCTGCTACTCGATGCCAGTATCCAGGAGGAAGAAGAAAACAAAACAAAGACGAATAGTAGCAGGTTTCATAAGACATTTCAGAAAGGTGAGGAAGATAGCTTGAAAATGAAGGCCTTGTCTGTTTCTTACATGTGTAATCCAAAAGGAAGCAGGAGCTAGAACATGCATGGAGCAGAAATGCTGTCATCAAGAAATGTAGGTATTTCCAAGGTTGTGTCTTTATATATGAACCGAAACAGTTTTTAAATGACTTATTCCACGTATAATATATGTGGAAATGATATACAAGATGAATTTTTAATAGATGTCTTCAACCAAAGTTTAGCTTTAAAATTAGACAAACTTGGCTTTTCTAAAAGGACACTTTAGTCCTTAAATTACCCACTGAAACAGACCTGGCACAGCCTGCCCTAAGAAAACCAAATATGAGGGTAAGAAACCTTACTCCTGACTTTTGTGGAAGGTGGAAATTTACATGAAGGTCAACTACTGTGACAGACACTCAGCCTGTAGTAATGTGTCCCTGATGACGAGCCAGCCTCAAGTGAAGCACTTTCCTGTAATCTATGTAAGGCCTGACTGCACAATGAAAACTTTCTTGGATAGATTTTTTTTTTAAATAAACGAATCAAATTTTGGTATACCAAACTGCCAAAATATACTGCCTGCCTTGATTTAAAAAGAAAGAAAGAAAGAGAGAAAGGAAGAAAGAATTACATGATTACATGTAATGAATAAACCTGCCAAGCACAAATCTGAGAAGGCCTGACGTTCCCTACATACTTTCCCCAACCAATAGTCACTATTACACCCACCCCAATATGCTAAGCTCTTCAACTATGGGACAGATAACTTCCAGAAAGAAGAGCAAACCATCCACTGTATCAATCCTGCTTCATCCCTCACTTTAGAAACACGAAGAGACCATCACACAACATACACACACGCACACACACACACACACACGCACACACACACACACAGTTTGCTCGTGGCTGACTCCACAGTGTATCTTTGTATATATAAATATACAAGGCCTCAGCTAGAAAAAAAAAAGTGCATTTAGACAAAACTAAGTTTGAATAACTAGACATGACAGGCAGGTTTTATTTTCCAAGTCAGGGTGGAGTGTGTCAGCAAAGGTTTGGTCTCTGCATTTATGGCAGGTAGTTAGAATACCTCCCCAGCGTGAAAGGAGCTGTGAATCACTAGGAATCTTGAGAAAATGCAGGTTCTAATTCAGACCCTGGGAGGGAGAGTGCGGAGAGCAGGCATTCCTAAGAAGTTCCCAAGAACACTGGGCCTGGAATCTAGAGCATGATCAGCCTCTGGGGACATGCTGTTGAGGAACAGACAATAAGCAGAGCTGTCCGTGTGTCCTCTCAGAAGCTTATGTGGGATGTCATGCTCCAGTGGACAAGCTAGAATGTGCACCAGAACCTCTCTTTCCCCACTCCCCACAACTCAGCCAAGGAGGCTCACGGCTTCCCAGCCCCTTCCCTAGTAAACAGAGACCTCAGAGGCATAGCCCCAGCTTCTGCCCCTCTCATGGGGTGAAGTTCCACTGCTGCCATTTTCTAAATGGTTTGTGGGCACCAGTGTGTCACTTCCCCTTGGGTGCCCAGTTGGTTTCATGTTTGATTCAAGTGTCACAACCTCAACGTCCCCACTAGCATCTTAGGGTGAGTATGAGAATCACCCTGGGGTGGTAGGAAAGTGGGAGGAAGTGCAGTGGGGCCCCACCCATAACGTTATTATTCTGAATAGCAAAGACCAGGAAATGGCCTGAGCAGAACAAAAAGCCTGGCTCACTATGGTCCCCAGTCTAGTGGGTGCTGTCACAGGCAAGGTGTGACATCACATCTCTTCTTATATGTCATACTTTTTTTTAATCTATCTTCTGCAGAGAGGCCCTCAGAGGTTCTGCCAGTTTAGAAAAAAATGTATATATACTATTACCAAGTCAAGGGTCTCAGACATTATAATAGAATGCCTCTTCATGATAAGTGGGCAGTGTCTGGGATATAAATTAAATTTAAATTTTGCAATCTCTAATGCCTCATCCCAACTTAGAGAAACATGAGCTTAGCTACAGTATCAAGTTGTTGTCCTTCAGGAAACAGGTCCTGGCCACTGCAATAGAGAGGGACTCAGGCTGTGTCTGATGATCCAGCTCTTTGGACACACACACCTCTTATGTGTAACACCTCCACTGAGTGGATCACTGTGTGGTCCCTTTCGGAAACATGGTCCTCAAGACTCCGCACCTTGGGCTGTACACTCACGCCCACACAAGCCATTGGAAATCAGTAGACTTGCAGCAAGCCTGTCTCACCCTGCTTTGTGGCAGGGATTAAGACACCAGGCAAGCTGTCTCCACGAAGGTGCACTGACTCAATGGAGAATGCAGGCCTCAGTGCCCCCAGAAATGCCCACTTTCCCATCCTGTAGAAGGGCAGTGTGCTTTTAGTCATCCATCCTCTGCCCAGTAACCAGAACACCAGAGCTACCTTATGTTTTCCCCACCACCAATCAGACCAGGGGACACAGCACATGGACACCTCCCCAGCTCAGGAAGGGGTCTTTCAGCTGCTGGGCATGTGACTTTGCTCACTTGGATCACCAGGGGTGTCTCCTGAGCATTTCTGTTACATGGGCTTTCCCACGTAGCCTGAGGACCCAACCCTCTCTGAATAAAAGCTGTAATACTGGGCATGCTCCAGTTCCCAGCTGGGTCTTCCTTCATACATTGGCCACTTGTTTCTTCTCCATTCATTCAACTGGAGTCGAACACTCTGTGAACACAGTGCCAGCTGAGTGTGCACATGGAACTCACAGACTTGGTGACAGTCAGTGACCTACTTTGGTTATTACTCCTTGACTTTAGACGGTGTCTTCATGTTCAGCTGGGTCTGATCCAGACAGGAATTTTGGGAAATTCTGAGTGCACAGTGATTAATATCAAGACCCTACCCACCCCCCACCACCCCTCAACACCCCCCCCGGCTGGCCTACAGTTCATTAAATATCATTATAAACTAGTTTTAACTTTCGTGTCTACACTGCCCACTCAAAAAGACTTAGAGGTAATTAGGAAATTCAGGTGCCAGTATAGACATTAAAGTTTTCCCTGGCATCAGTTTTAGCAGCACTGCCCCAGGTATTCTTCAGTAACTACTGAACAGTCTCTTCTTGCCCACCATTACCCAGCTGGGAAAATGTTAATTGGGTATTTCTAACACATTGTTTATTCTTAAGAGAAGCATCTCTCAGGACATGTATTTTTCATACATAATGGTTTTTTACACGAAGCATCTGTTTGTTCTTCAGAAGCAGCCTTTAGAAGGAACACTCTAACTAACACTTTAACTCTCACCCTGAGAGTTAAAGACTGAATTATGTCGACACCTGTGTCTGCCCAGCAGGACAGTCGCACACCCCTCGTTCACAAGGAACTCCTCCACCTCCTTCAGACCCAGGGTGTAAGCTGCAACTCTTGGCCACCCCTTGCAGGGCCTAGGCTACCTCAGTCACAAACTGAGTAGGCTCCCTGGAAACTCTTCCAATGGCAGCAAAGTCTGTACCTGGAATACAACTTGTCCAACGTAGACATAAAAGTAAATTTGAAGAATTTCCTAGTTGTGTAGAAAGGAAAAGGCAGGAGGTCTCAAGGGAGCTCACTGCTGCCAAGCGCAAGAGCCTGGGGATTCCCACTGGAGGACAGGCCGTGGCTACCCTGTTTCTTAACTTCTCATTTTATTCAATCTTTCTCCAATCTCTCCCTCTCACCCTCACACTTTCTCTGTCTGTCTCTCTCCTGATTTGCCTGCTTAGGGACAGACAGGTAATGGAGAAGAAATTGAAAGGGAAAATACAGGGAAAATGTAAATGAAAAGAAGTTATTATAACTGTTATAATGAAGTGCCTTTCATTTAAATATAAGAATGTAACGCTGAAATGAACTTGTGATCCTGAAATGCATTTTTAATGAGTTTCCTTTTTATTTTGCTGCTTCAGTGGCATATTTTAAAGACCCTTTGAAAAAAGTCACATTAAAAACCCCACCAAATGCCACAACACGCAAAATTGGATATTGGTTTATTCCAAAACTGCTGATCAGGAAGAGTGACTCTTCATCACAAAATGTTGCAGTCACTTTATTTAAATGAGTTTGAATTTGCATTGTGATGTGCCATTCTGATTTAGGGGAAAAAAATTAGATTTTCAGATCAAATTGACCCAGCCAGTGAAGCGTTAAGCAGCTGGCAGGTTTAGTCTGAAAGCCTCATGTTCTATCAAACCTGCAGCCGGTGGAAGTCACCAAGCCCATGGGAAACAACTTTCTTGCGGCTGTCCTCCTGAGCGGCCCTCGCTCAGCTCTCACCAGGCTACCCTCTTCCCTTCTTGCCCAGGTGAACGGCCTTTCCAGTGCAACCAGTGCGGGGCCTCCTTTACCCAGAAAGGCAACCTGCTGCGTCACATCAAGCTACACTCGGGCGAGAAGCCCTTCAAGTGCCATCTCTGCAACTATGCCTGCCGCCGAAGGGACGCCCTCACCGGCCACCTGAGGACGCACTCTGGTAGGTCCCCTGGGCATGGCAGGGATGCCAGGCCCTGGCCATCTCAGTGTAGGGGCCCCAGATTGTGTGTTTCATGTCCCCACTCTTCCCAGTCCACAGCCCTCTGGGCACGTTGGCCTCCTACAAGTTGACCTACAAGTTTTTCCTATTGAACCAGAGGAAATGGGTGGGGGGTACACATAAGGAAACCTCACCTCCGTGGTGGGTTTTTGAAGAGCTCTCTCCCTCCCACCATATCAGGTAAGTGGGGTTTTCTCTGAAGTGCGCTGTTCATGCCCTTAACTTTCCAACCACATCTCTTTACATCCATTCTTATGCCACACGTATCAGTGGCTTGTGTAGAATATATTGAATAGCGGTAATAGACATAATTTCCCTTGCAGAGAGGACACAGGTGGGGTGATCAGACTATAACCCTGCCATTCCAGGACACACCACTCCAGCCAGAGAGTAACCCCCAGACCAGAAACCAGCAGAGGCTTTGATGGGACTGGCCAGTCTGGAGCTGTCAGCAAATTGCAGACAGCAAAATGTCCCTGTAAGGATGTCTCAGATACTCTGGAGTCTCAGAGCATAATCTACATAAATGCTGGACAACTTGTCACACCGACTTGTTGTTCACTAGATCGTATTTTCTGCCTCCTGGGTGGCTTCTTATCCAGTAGCCCCACAAGCCTCCAGGTCTGAGAGAAAGGGATTTTGTCCAGCAACAGCGTGTTATCTGTGCTTGCAATACAGTCAATATGATGTAACGTGCACAGTTTCCTTCCATTCCACCCTGTCGTCTGGTGTCATGTGCTACCCTGGCTTTGGGAGCACTAGGTTGATGGGCCTTGTCTCTGCACTCCAAGAGTGCCCATCATAGCCAGCCATCACTATGTCATTGCTCAATGGCAGGAAGGAGGTCCTCAGCCCATCTCCTTCCCACTGCTAACCTCTTCCCAAACAGAACAGATGCATCTCATGGTGCAAGTTATCCATCTCTGTGCCCCACATTTCCTAAGCCCCTCAACAGCATCCTATGTGTGTGTAGCATGGCCGAGTGCTGAGGGCCCACAGGAGCAGAAAGAAAAGACAGTCTGTCCTGACTGGAGGATTGGGAGAGATTCCCACAGCAGGAGGGCTAGGCAGAGTGTTCAGCCCAAACTGAGTTATTTGCTTTAGGGAAACTCTAAACAAAAGCAGAGTGGGAGTATACTAGAGTGCACATTTTACCAGGTGTGGTCCAGAGCTGCTCTTTTTTGGTTAGTGCTCACCTCCACATGGCCACATGTAGAGAAGGAAAGAAGCTAAGGCTACGAGTCGTCTCCCCTGTAGCCCTCTCTCCTACCTGACTGACAGGGAACATGCAGGAGACTCCCAAAAGCTTATAGCAGAAAGTTGTGATTTAGGCAAGTTTCTTGGCACTGCCCAGAAAGGTGCTGCCCTCCTTTGAGGAACTGCTCCCTCTGGCAGCATGTGAGTCAGAGGGTGTGGCAGAGAACAAGCACCTCCCTGTCCTAGGTGGGACGCTAGCTCAGACCTGGGAGGGATACACCAAAAGGAATGAGATGAACTGAAGGCCTCCTGAGATGGCGGTGACACTTTCTATATGTATTTAGCAATGAACACAAAGTGAAGGCGGTGCTGGGGAGGGGGTGGCATACAGACCTGTGTAGGTGGCAGGTGTGAGAATGGTGCAGTCATGCTGGCAGGGGACCTAGGAGAAAGCAGCTGCACGTCTGTCATTTATGGGAAGTCACATAGACACAACTGACAGGCATCATGCAGACAGAGTGGCATCAAGCACAGCTTCCTAAGCCAGGGGAAAAGTCAAAGACCCACCTTTAGGCTGACCCCCGCCACAGCATTATCACCCTTTAATTACTGGTTTACGATATAAGTCTTTCCTGCATATTTGTCCTTAAGCTGTAAATGACAGAATAATCTTTTGTGAAATTGGTGCAGGGTTTTGCGTTTTGCCTACATTGTTTGCTAGTTGTATTTAAGGCCTGATGGTATCCTTCTCTCAGTGGGGATAATGACTTGAGTAGTTATATAAAACAGGTGGTGATATCCTGACAGTTTATTTCTGTCAGAGTCACCAACCAGCTGGTAGATATCCATTATAGACCTGGGGTGTTGGCCGCTTTATTGTCTGAAAATACCCTTGACACACAGAGCTCTGGAAGAAAAGGAACACTGTTTGCTTCTCGAAAGTGATTTCGCTAGAATGACAAGACTTCAGCCCCTGTCTGCAAAATTCCAGGGTAGTGCATTTTCTTCCTGTGTGGACAGCCATTGCCCACATTACATTAAAAGCTAAAATCAACCATACAGCTTTCCCTAGCATCTGGTGGTAGTCTGAGGTTCTAGACTCCAGTGTGGTAATGGAATTTGTGTTGATATTGGGCTTGGTCCTCCTTTGGCAACTACAAACTTTGTTAGAGACAGTTTGGTTCTTACATTCTAGCATTGAAGTAAATCATACCCTGGGGAAAAGCAGGTACCAACCATACCATTTATACAGGGGGACAATTTCGATTCACTAAATCACAAAAGTTACAAGTTTTTCGGGAAAGGACATGAGTATTACTTTCTATGAAAATAGAATATAAGTACACAACTTTAGACAACATTGGTTCCATACTTCATCGTCATTTCCTAATGTTTGGGGTGCATCACTGCCTATGCAAAAATTCCATAAGAACTGGAGAGACGTTTCAACAGTTAAGATAACTGGCTGCTCTTCCAGAGGACCCACCTTTGCTTTCCAGCACCCCCATGGCAGTTCACAGTCATATGTAACTCCAGTTCCAGGGGATCCAACTCCCTGTCATATCCTTTGCAGGCAGGCACCAGGCAAGCAAGTAGTGCACAAACATACATGCAGGCAAAACACTCACACCCATAAAGTTAAATTAAATAAAAATCTATTTTGGGGGTCTGGAGAGATGACTCAGTGGATAAGAGCATTGTCTGCTCTTCCAGAGGTCTTGAGTTCAATTCCCAGCATCCACTTGATGGCCTACAACCACCTATACTGGAATCTGATGCCCTCTTCTGGCCTGTAGGTGTACATGCAGATAGAGCACTCATACATTAAGTAGATAGATAGATAGATAGATAGATAGATAGATAGATAGATAGATAAAATCTTCAAAAAATATTTTTTTAAAAAATGTGTTCTGAATTCTATAGATGAAGCTTTGGTTTCCATGACAACTTCATAGCATCTGCTCAATTAGAAAAGAGACTTAAGTAACATTGCTTTAAACCATTTATCAAGCATTCCAGTATGGATGGCTTTATATCCCACTTAGAAATGTATTAAATCCAACACAGCATGAGGAATATAATGTTTGTATTGAGGTGAAAACCCAAATTCCTCATAAAGTAATTGGAGAGTGTTTCCTCTAAAAACGATCTTTACTGGAGTCTTTAAAAACAGGCATCACATGAACCCTTTGCTAGTCTTCTCCTAAAATACCACTCAAAAAATAAAAATAAAAAACTGGGAAGGGCTAAGCTTATATAGAATAACACTGCCCCACATAGAAGCCACTAGCCTTATGTGGCACTTAAGTTTTAGTAAGCTAAAATTAAACAAAATTAGAATGCTAGTCCTCTGTGGAACTAGCCAAACTTGGAATGTCCAGTGGTTCCATTTGGCTGGTAGCTACCATACTGAACAACAGTGAATGCGATGCAGAACAGACATGCAAAGGCCACTTACAGCATCATAGCAAGTTTTAATGGACAAAGCTGAACTGGAAGTTTCCTCATCCTAGTGTTCTTTGGGGATAAAACAGAGGCTTTCCATATGTTCTTCCTACATTGTGTATCTTCATGTATATGAAAATGCAATTTGATTTATCACTATCACCTTTCACTTTGTATTTTCATATTGCATTTTTTATTACAATGTATTCACTTTGTATCCAAGCTATAACCCCCTCTCTCATTCCCTCCCAGTCCTGCCCTCCCTCCCTCTTCCCATGCCCCTCTGCCAGTCCACTGATAGGAGTGGTCCTCCTCCCCTTCCCACTGACCCTAGCCTATCAGGTCTCATCAGAACTGGATACATTGTCTTCCTCTGTAGCCTGGTAAGACTGCCCCACACCACTCAGGGAGAGGTGATCAAAGAGCCAGCCACTGAGTTCATGTCAGAGATAGTCCCTGTTCCCCTTACTAGGAAACTCACTTGGAGATTGAGCTGCCACACAGGTCTCTGAAAGACTCTACCCAGCAGTGTATCGAAGCAGATGCTGAGACTCATAGCCAAACTTTGGGCAGAGTGCAGGGAATCTTATGAAAGAAGGGAGAGATGAAAGACCTGGAGGGGACAGGAGCTCCACAAGGAGAGCAACAGAACCAAAAAACTGGGCACAGTTTTGTCTTTTCTGAGACTGATACTCCAACCAAGGACCATGCATGGAGATAACCCAGAACTCCTGCACATATTGTGTATTTTTAAGCAAAGTAGTATGTCTTACAAATGTAAAATACAATTTTACTACAGAAAGACACAATTTAGAAATATTCATTTCATTAAAGTCTTTTCTGGCCATGTTTTCTTAGAGTTACCTCATCTGGCCTCCTGAATTTTCACCTTATTCTTTAAATGTCATCCCAGTGAGGGGTCAGCCTGGCGGGAGACCTGTGATGGTTTACTTTTTCCCCTTAAAAGACACTTCAGTGATTTAGAAAAGGGGTTGGTAGCCAGCGTGATAGGTTAAGATGAAAAAGGGACCATGAGTTCTTGGTACAATCACTGAGTCACCTGGGCATTAACATTTTTAAAATTTGTTAATTTTGACTAAGGCCATAATAGCCATCGCTCTCAAGAGGGTACATTTTTCATCTTTTTTGTTGTTGTTGTCATCAATGTCATGCACGCATTCCCATACCCAGAAGGCCGATATTTAATTGGAGTCTTAAACTCAATTGTGTTTTCTGCAGTTGGTAAGCCTCACAAATGTGGATATTGTGGCCGAAGCTATAAGCAGCGAAGCTCTTTAGAGGAACATAAAGAGCGATGCCACAACTACTTGGAAAGCATGGGCCTTCCGGGCACGATGTACCCAGGTAAGCAGCGCTGAGGCTCCCTGCTGAGCTGGACCCTTTCCCCCCTCCCGGCACCTGGGTCAGGAGGGGGCTCTGTGGCATGTTCGGCCATGCTGCCCAGGAGGAACTTTTTGACCAATAGGGCTGCAGCTACACTAGGGACAACTCATTGTACTTCTCCACTTTCCAAGTCCTCAACCAACCAGACACAGCCTGTCTTAAGACCTCCCTTAACAGCAGTGACCCTTTTAAGATTCTGGGTTGTGGGGTAGTTTTGTTGTTGTTGTGGGGCTTATTTTGGGAGGGGGGAGTGATTTTTGAAAGCAAGAGGAATTGGCTGACGCTATAGCTAAGTGATAAAGAGCTTGCCTGGTGTGCAAAAGGCCCTGGGTTTGATCCTCAGCATCACAAGGAAAAGGAAAACAAAACAAAACAAGAGTACTGTAGTGATTGCTTCTTTGTACTTAAAAGTCCAAATAACATGTGAGTCTTTTTTTTTTTAACTAATTACTCACAAAGGTCTTTAAAGAAGAACTGTTGGGCTGGGACAAAACATTGGTTTAGACTAAACTTTGAGAACCCATACCAGGGAGAATGAGGGCTGAACTTGTTGGAAGACCTGGCAGTCATCAGTACTGAGGCTGTGGGAAGGGTGCTGGATGTATACTGAGCACTGCCTTGTGATGAGAATCAGTTTCACTCTAAATTCCTAATTTGTTCTCACTGGTGGTCAGATGATTCAGAACCCTGCAGTGATGGCTTCATGCTCCAGTTCTTTCTCAAGAAGTGAGAAATTACTCTTGCAAGAAGCAGCAATCTGACCTTAACATGACCAAATAGCCAGGAACCGGCATTTAATTACTTTGGGGGCTCTTCCTGTCTCTGCCTCATGTCATATTAAGATACACAAGATGACCATAGGCAACCTATCCCCCAACAAGTGTCAGTCAACTTTCCATCGTTGTAATGGGTATCTGAGGCAACTAGCTGTAATAGGAAGGCAATTGTTACTGGACTTTGGAGGTCTCGGCCCATGGTTGGTTGCCTACATTGTATTGCTTTGAACATGCCATTCTGAGAGTGTGGGTACCCTTCAGTGCCAGGTGGATCCTCACAAGCAAGGGAGAAGGAGAAAGAAAAGGCTATGGACCCATGTTCCTCTTTGAGAGCATATCCCAGTGACTTAAGGACTTCCCCTAAGACTCCACCCCTCAAGGTTTCCAGCATCTTTTACTTGGATCGCCCTAGAGCAGAGGCCTGCAACATGTGGGCCTATGGGGGACACTCCAGTTGCCAACTATAGCTGCCAAGGCCTTGTTTATTTCACCCTTCCAACAACTACCTTGTAAGCATAGAGTGAGTGCTGGGTTAAGGAAGTTGACAATGACAGGCTCCGGAAATGAACTTTAGTATAAGTGCCGCCAGTAAAACGTGTACATTCTTGTTTATCTTCCTCTCCTGATCCACCATGTCCCTTGGATCACCACATTATTCCCCAGACCTATTTAGGTTGGGTGCATTAGGTAAAAACTGCCTAGCTCAATAGATTTAAGTTTGTTTTTCTGAACATTATTTTTTTTAGTAAAAAGGTTGAGATCACCTGTTATACTTTTCTAATATCTTCATAGGATAAAGAACTTTCTCCTGAGCCTCACATATACAAAGTGCAAACAAAAAATACTGGCTCAGAGGTGTGGTATGGAGTCACCTGTGGTATGGGGCGCCTGGGCCAGCGACTGAGCCTAGTTCACAGAGAAAAAAAAGACTCGGCAATGAGCATATTAGCTTGATAGATCACATGTATGAATGATTTCTAGAATCAGTTTTTATGACTTTCTGTATTTCCTTCTATTAATCAGAGTGTGGGCTGAATCTTGAGCTATTGAACAAAATGCACTCATAGTTCCCTGTTAAAATAACACGCCAGCAGTAGTATTTGACAAGAAATGTGGGTTTTAAAGTGAAGATATAAAATACATAAGGATCCTGCTGGCATGCAGGGTACAGAATAAGGAAAAGAAAGCCACCAGGTCATCCTGGGCAAAGAAGAAATGTAGAAGATGATAAAGGGAAAGAAGGCTGGTGCATCCATGAATATCCCCCAAATCTAGGCATGGCTTTAACACAAAATTGTTTGTTCATCTTGTTAACATTTGGAAAACATTTACTATGAAGATCTATTAAAAAATAATAAATGAAAATATTGGCAAGGCTAGAGTTACATGAAGATGTAGCCATGACTCAAGGAACTGTTTGAAAAACATGGAGATGAGCCAGGATAAAACCAGATAAACCTATGCTAAATCAACATGACCCGTCTGAAAAGGAAACACACACAAGGTAGAAACAGTGTTGAAAGCTGATCACTTTACATTTTGAGCAATTTTGGGAATGAAGGAATTACATACTTCAGAAATCCCTGCCATGAAAACTAGAAGTCAGGATGAATGGACTATGCATGAGACAAACTTGTATCTTCACTTAAGATTAGGGAGAGTTGGTATAGAAAAGGAGATGGGTTTGGGTTAGCCTGTCTTTCTGCATTTCCTTTAACAACTGCTAGGCTTCCTACCCTGCACAACTGCTGTGTGATTAGGTACTTGCTGTACGGTCAGGGACTGTTTCCTATACAGTTGTGACTTCAGACCCTTTGTTTATTTCTGGACCTAATGATATTTGGTTCCCATAGTTGTTGTTAGAGTTGATTAAGTTAATCTTGAGAAAGGACCCTCCAATGTAGCACAGTTAATTTACTGTGATCCAGCCTCGGCTGATGGACAAGCAGCTTGTTCTTTTGTTCTTTGGGATAATGTGGGTTGAACAGGTAGAGGATGGGGTGTTAGCAATTAGCTAATTATTGGCATTGCTACAGCTGGTTCTGTCAGGGGGCTAAAGGATGAGAAATAGGCTCTTGTTGGCACTTTATAAATGTGAGGTTAACACTGGATAAGGCAGTATCTTGAAGTGCAAGCATTTCTAAACTAGCCTCTCTATCTTTGACTTTAGTCATTAAGGAAGAAACTAACCACAGTGAGATGGCAGAAGACCTGTGCAAGATAGGAGCAGAGAGGTCCCTTGTCCTGGACAGACTGGCAAGCAACGTCGCCAAACGTAAGAGCTCTATGCCTCAGAAATTTCTTGGTAAGAGTTAAATGTTTGCTGTCTCTTAACATACAATTATGTGGGTTTTCTAGACTCAAATGAAAATTATTTGAAAGTAGAAGAAAAGAAAAAAATCTCACTTTTTGGAAGTAATAAGCTTAGTGTTTCTTTAATATTATAGTTTTTTCTAATAATTTTCTTCAAACTGATAAAGAAAACTTTTACCAGGAATTAGGTAGGATTTCATAGCCTCTGAAGCCCTTGGCATGATGTTTCTGTGGCCATTCTGGCAATGATTAGATCAGTCCTCTCTGAGCTCCAATTCACATTTTCCCCCAGAAGGTCATCTCACACTCCACTCAAAGGGTAGTGAGGGCTAAAAGGAACCAGAGACTAGACCCTCTGATGATCCAGTGAAGGACCGATGCAACTCGAATTGCTATTTTGACTTTTGACTCTTCACCTGTCCTTGATACCATGAGCAATAAATGTAAGGTGAGCCCCTTGCTCCTTGAGCCACTGTTGGCTCCTGTAGACGATCAACAAGTGCCTCATGCCAGCCAACTAGGGCAGACACTGGAAGGACAAGAAGGAAGTTGAGGCAGATGCCCAGATGGAAATCACTCATCTCAGAGACAGGCCTGAGCCCAAAGCAGAGACACTCATTAACTCCATGACCTTGAGGAGATGACTCCACCTTTCCAAGCCTGGGTTCCATTCTTTATGTATCTCATAGGGCAACTGGAAGGATAAAATTCCCCCACAGATGTGAACATTTTTAGAAGCCCTTAGTTTGAAGGCCAGCTATTGTCATCGTTAAGAAAGAAAATTGTATGTCCAGGAAAGAAAAAGAAAAGTGTTTATGAAGCTGAGATGGACTTGGAGAAAGTGGCAGGATTTCAGTTCTGTGCCATACAGACATCGGGGGAGTCACAGAGTCTAGGCAGATGAGGATAAGTGATTATGCTGGTGGTTGGGTTTGGAAAAGGACCAGCAGGACATGATGGAAGAACAGGTATGTTCCCAGCTTTTCCCAAGTACTCACCGGAAAGCAGTGCATAAAGTTGTTCCAGGTAGCTCTGACTATAACATTAATGGCCTCTGAATGCCAAACTGAGGAATGTAGTCTCATTCAGAACCACAGAAAAATCAGAGGTGTGTTCTCAGTGGCAGCAGCACTATTGAACATAGAGACAGCATGGGTCAGAAGTAACTGGAATTGGGTGATGACAAGAGTGTGCATAGTAATCAAAAAGAGAATGCCTTAGTGAAGAAGGGATGGAAGGCAGGGTAGGGTTGCTGAAGGAATGGTGTCCTTGATTAGTGCGCCATTGGCAGAAAAGATAAAGCCAAGTCTGGAAAATAGGAGTCCAGGGTTTGATGTAAATATTATTTTCAAGAATGCCGCCCTGGTAGGGGTAGTCCACAGAAACCATACTAGAAAGAATATAGAACTAAAAAGTTGGTGACACACATGCACCTTCATACCAGGGCACCTATATCAAGGCAGAAAGACAGAGGTCAGGTTCTTAGCCAACAGCCTTCCTCTTACAAATACAAATAAGGCTCAAAATTTATCTATTGATTAAATAGAAGTTTCTCACAGATTGATGGTTGGGAGGGGGAAGAAAGGAAGAAAGACAAAAAAAAAAAAAAAACAGAAACCATTTACTGGAAATATTTTTCATGGACTTGTCTGTGCATATGTGAGCCTTTGAACTGAAAGAATGAATAGTTCATTTTCTTATCAGAGAAGAAGGCGATCTTGGGCAAGGAGTTGGCTGTTGGGTGGCTGAGGTTTTAGGCAGTAGTAGGTGTAGGGTCCCTATCTTCTTCCTGAAGAGTGCACAGAGAACAGAAATCATGGAGAGATCATGGGTGATCAGGGAAATTGGCAGAAATGAAGCTTCAAGTGTGTTCAAGGGTGGTGAACAGTTACTGACCTCAAGAGGCCGAGTGTGACTTCCTCTTTTTGATTAGGAACCTAAAGAACAGCACATGCTTTAGTAATGACCATCTCCAGTGTCCTTAAGCTTCAAGAGACTTCGAGCCAAATGGGGCATCTGAAATTTTACCATGGCTATCCTGGGTGAATGGGAATTGTCTTAATTCACATGGTTCTATGTGAAAGGGAAGCAGCAAAACTGGTGAAGCAAAGCTCAGATGAGAGAGAACTCTCCAGGGGAGAGGTTAAACACAAGGAGGAAGTGGCATTGTGGGAACAAGGACCAGGAGAGCAGAAGTGCAGTGGGCAAGGAAGGGCTCCCGGCAGCTGTGTTCTGTTGGTGTTCCCCCAGAGTTGATGGACAGTTCACGTCCTGACCAGTGCCTCTTCCTGCTCTTACGTCTGCTTCCCTCTCACTGCTACGTGATGACATACCTGTCCACCCTTCCTACTGTGCCAGTTTTTCTCTAAAATGAAAAGAAGTGGACCTCACATATAGGATAATGTGTTAATGTGATACTAAGATGATAGACAGCTAATAAGAATTTTAACAGAAATGTTTGATGTTTTTCAGATAACCAAAATCCAACATCCAGAAATTAACAGTGTTAAATTAGAAGAACATCACTGTAAAAATCTTCCTGACATAGATATTTCAGTGGATAGGATTAGTAATAGGCAGATTACAATAGAGAGATGTGCAGTAAATACCTTTTAAGTTCCTAAAGATGCAGCTTAAGAAAGATTCCAACTGCTTTTCCTGGGATGGGTTTGCTGTGCTTCCCCTCTTCCCAGGTAATGCTAGAAGTGCCCAGTGACCATGGCATATTAGTCATATCTTAAACTGTAAGAGGTGTCTGGTCCTCTAATAGATTCACTTCCAGAGGAGATCTACTTCTTAAAAGAATTACTCTTGAAAAAAAAATATTTATTGTAAAACACATTAAGAGCTATGAATCACTTTTATTGCTGTTTTATTTACATTATACACATCAAGAGTATTCGCATTCTATTCAGGAATCATTATTCTTACACAATTTAGATATTCACCACTATATATTTTCACAGGTTGAGGAATCAGACTCAGGCCTCTTAATACCATTTCTGTTTGTTTTGATTAATCCCTTCATTGAGTAATCTTTACATGCAAACACCATTTCATAGACATTCCACCTCCATCATTGCTTCCAGTTTGAGGATGTCCATCTTTGTACCTGAGGAGTATCCACTGGACTGTGTGGCCCTGAGCCACTCTTCCTTCTTTGATACTAAAAGATTTTGCCCTGTTGCCTGATAGCATTGCTTGTTGGATGGTGCTGGGTGATAAGTCCAGCCTAATTTTATTCTCTTTGATTATTTTACTTTTCTTCATAAATGCATAATGTTATTTCCTTGAACCCAAAAGTCAAACACCCTCAGTAAGAAACACATTAGTATGTTATGGTCTGGATGAATTGTTGCCTTGTAAACTAGGAGGTTCCTTCCTCTTTCTTCCTCTTTTTTTGGAAACATTTCGTTACATATGTATCTTTTGTTTTTCCTATTATGATCTCTATTCAAGAGGGCTAATTTTCCAATTTCCATGGATAAATTGTCTCCCATGTCTGTTAGCATTTTGCTTTTTTTATTTCTTTGTCTTTTTAAGTTTATTCACTGTTATTTTAAGTTTACTCACTGTTATATTTTCCCTGCTTTGTCAGTAATTCAGTTCCTAGTAATTTTTATTTTAGTGTTCTCTATTTCTAACTCATGTATTGAGTGTGTATTGGTTTGTATTTCATTTTGTTTCCTGAGATCCAAACTCTCCCTCTGTTCTGTTGGGTTTTGTTTTTCTTTTAGTATTGCTTTGAATATTTCCAAATTTTGACTGCTTGCATATTCCAAAAATTCAAATAACTAAAACTTAAAAAAATTTTTTTTTACTCCAAGTCATGCAGTAATTATGCTGCATTTCCCCTCTTCCTTTTCCCCTAGGATGGACTTCCTGGTTTGTCTTCCTTTCTTTCTTGCCAAAAAATATTTTCACTGTAACCATGACAATTCTTTTCATCCTGCTCATTCTACTTGGTCTAATATGATTTGATTGACAGTTCAGTGTTCTTCCCATTGTATCTGAGACTTTTCCCTATGAGAACTATGACTTTTTTAAATCCTGAAAGAATGCCAGGGATGGTGTTAAGGGAGTTCAGGTGAGGCAAAGTTCGGCATTTGTTGAAAATGTTCCCCTTTGAGAGCTCTCTCTCATTTTTCAGATTTCATTAAAGCCCTAAAGCAGCAGATGTCTACACAGGGGACATATGAGGGCTTCACTTCCCCTGCAGTGCAACTCATGGAGGCCTTTGCTTCTGTGCAGGGGACCAGCCCACATGCTAAGGTCTCTGTTGTAATGTGCTGACTGCAAGAGGATTCAGCTCTGTGATCAGAAAAGAGGGGTAGGGGGAAGCAGAAATTCAGCCTATTCAAACTGTTTCTCTGTCAGTGTGAGGGTTTATTTAGGAGGGGTGATGCTAGAATGTTATTGATCCCACCTGTTTCTAGAAGTGACATTACCCAAACTTTTGTTGTGAGTCTTATGCAAGAACTGTCTGCTTTCCTTTGTCATAGATAGACAAATGTAAAGTAGAAATAAGTAGATGATAGATAGATAGATAGATAGATAGATAGATAGATAGATAGATAGATTGATTTTCACTGGGGCACTGGAGACTTTTGTAGCTTTTAATTTTTCATATATGAGTAGAGAAATTCTATGGGTAGATTTGTCACACCATGCTCATCTAGAAGGTATGTTTCTTTCTTTGCAACACCCAGTTGTTGATGAAACTAAGTTCTTGAAACAGCAAGCTTCAATGGTTGCTTAGAAAACCACAGAACCCCGACTCTGGGGAGAAACAGGAAAGTACCACCTTTGGTGAGACAACACACACTAACAGAACTACAGCTAACAGAACTGGGCACCAGACCATGCCCTCCTCCATTGCTAGAGTTTGGTAGCAAGTGACATGCAAGTACAGCAAGAATGAGTTCCTTCTGTCCATGTAACGAGTGGTTTAAAAAAAAAATACAGAAAAAAATTGTTTTGGAAATGCTAGGTAATTACTTCCCCCCTTGAATGGAGAAAGAAATCCCTTCATTGTTTCTGCTATCTGCTACCCAGGGGCTTTGCTCTGTCCAGTTTCTAAGAGGGTGTAACTGGACATAAACAAGTTTTCTTTCTATAGTCTGAGGATCATTCTGCGTCATTGTCAGAGTGCTGGCTCGGACACGAGTAGATGAAAATAAATGAAGTAGTCATGTGGTACATACCCAGTAAGACAAAGAAGCACAATGCAAGGAAAGATGCTAAATCATGAGGACTATATTCCAGGGCCACTATTAATGGTCACTTATGACTTTTTTTCTTCAAGGACTATGGGTAGATTTATGAATTCTCCTACTGTAAATAAAAGAGTTTGGGAGAGGTGATGACCTCAATGTCTTCATGAAAGACACTGGAGTCATCTTCTGCCATCACCAGCTACTTTCAGGTACACCCTGACTGTGAGCAGCTCCTGGCCTTTGTACCTTTTCAGTCTGTTGTCTCACTGTGACTGGAAATGTCACTTTCTTCAAACCGTTCACCAGTTTCCCTTTTTATTTAAACAAAGCCAGTTTAATCTAAGGTTCCAGTATATGATCCCAGCTGCCACTTGGATATTGCCTGTGACCCGAGAGCTCTGACCCCTGGACCTTCTCATTGTCCCACCCAAACTCCAGCCCCACCTCCCAGTAGGGAGGACTTTCACTGCTTCTGTCCCTAGCCGTGGGTACAAAAACCTGTACACCCAGCTGGCTCTTATGAGATGAGAAGTCTATGTGACACTCCGGTAACAAGCCTTCCTTAGCTCATGGAATTTTGCAGATGGGAATGGAGTCTGCCATCACCATTTAGTGTGTGTCTCCCCTGATAGCGGCATGTGTCCAAGGATACATTCTAAGGATACGTATCCATTCTCACTGGCTTTCCTTTTAGTCCCACTGTTGAGCCAGATGTATTGAAGAGAAGACAAAGGCAGAGTGGGAGGTGGAGTGTAAACAGTCCTGGTTCTGTGAGCCTCCTCATGTGTTCTCATTTATCATCACTGAGAAGGCACACAGTGGCCATCCCTGCCAATAGGAATATAATCTTTTGCTTTTATAAGTAAATTTGCTGTCTGAATCATGACTTCGTATTAGACTTAACACCAAAGTATTTAGAAGACAAATCTTTTAAGGAAATTTGTTTTATTTCATTATTAAAACATTTGCTCCAAAACTAATTACCTCAAGCCAAATCTAGTCTCATCTCATCTTTCACTGGTGCCAGGGAAGGAGGTTTGTGTTGGCCAGATTTTTCATCACTATAGGGGAATGTCTGAGATGTCCAACTTGTAAAAAGAAAAGATTTGAGACTTACAGCCTTGGAGGGTCCCTGGCCATGATGGATCAGCCCTGTTGTGCTGCCTCTGTAGCAAGGCAGCACAAGCAGGTCATAGGCTAGAAATGTTTGTCTTCTGGCTGAGGCAAAAGGGGAATATATGGGGGTCAGGACCCCAGTATCCCTTATGAGAACAAAGTCCCCAAAATCTAAGGTTTTCCCATTAGGCGCTTGTTCCCTAAGGAGACAAGAACCCCCCAACAGCATGTCCCTGAGCAGTCACCAAGCTTCTTTGTAATAAGGCACTGTCATCTACAAATGGGTCCAGCCACAGCCATAGCCATCCTGGGATACATCTGGTTTATGGATCACAGTTTGGACAACACCTGAAAACATTAGCTTGTACTCCTACAAGCTAATCATACGAGGGCATAAGTTTCTTGAGTCCCAGGTCTGGTCACTCCTGAATTCTGAGTTCCATTCATTTTTAGCATTAGGTGTGTGAGGTAAACAGTAACTGAATGGTGCCACCTCCCAGCCTGCTCCAACAGATTCTCCGTTAACCGCTTTCTATTTCTGCTGAGCTAGTCCACAGCTGCCAACTCTGATGAGAGGGTGCATACCATTATGCTTATGTATTCATTCTACTTTCATCATGCATTGGAGCCCATTCACTTTTGAAATATTTATAAGAAATACATAGTTTATTATAAATAATAAATAATCATGTTTTGAGTATATGTTTTTCTATATTATTACTATGATAAATGTAATATTTACACATCATTAATTCATGGTTGTGTAGTTTAATTAAATAATTTTAGGATAAATTAATCAGTATACAATTAGAACAAATTTAAAATACTTAAATTAAACATAATAGTATTAATTTTACCATACTTAATGAAAGATGGGATTTAGCCCATGCACTGTTTAAGCTGACATGGACAATCTTTAGTTTCCTATTCATTAATGGGCAAACAGGATTCCTTGAAGCACCTACCATAGTAATTCCTTGGGCAGGATGTCCCCTTTTCCCCTCCTGTGGGTAGCAAACGTGCCCTGTCTAGTGTGATACGAGGACACCTTACAACCCCCTGAACCTAGATTTCACTAATGATCACCCACTTCCCACAGGAGACAAGTGCCTGTCAGACATGCCCTATGATGGTGCCAACTATGAGAAGGACGAGATGATGACATCTCATGTGATGGACCAGGCCATCAACAATGCCATCAACTATCTGGGGGCTGAGTCCTTGCGCCCTCTGGTGCAGACACCCCCCGGCAGCTCCGAGGTGGTGCCTGTCATCAGCTCCATGTACCAGCTGCACAAGCCCCCCTCAGACGGCCCCCCAAGGTCCAACCACTCGGCGCAAGACAGCGCCGTGGAGAACTTGCTGCTGCTGTCCAAGGCCAAGTCCGTTTCGTCGGAGCGGGAGGCTTCCCCTAGCAACAGCTGCCAAGACTCCACGGATACCGAGAGCAATGCGGAGGAGCAGCGCAGCGGCCTCATCTACCTGACCAACCACATCAACCCTCATGCGCGCAACGGGCTGGCCCTTAAGGAGGAGCAGCGCGCCTACGAGGTGTTGAGGGCGGCCTCAGAGAACTCGCAGGACGCCTTCCGTGTGGTCAGCACGAGTGGCGAGCAGCTGAAGGTGTACAAGTGCGAACACTGCCGTGTGCTCTTCCTGGATCACGTCATGTATACCATTCACATGGGCTGCCATGGCTTCCGGGATCCCTTTGAGTGTAACATGTGTGGGTATCACAGCCAGGACAGGTACGAGTTCTCATCCCATATCACGCGGGGGGAGCATCGCTACCACCTGAGCTAAACCCAGCCAGGCCCCACAGAAGCACAAAGATGGCTGCCAATGCCTCCCTCCCGGCAGCTGGACCCACAACAGACAATGTTGGGTGTGGATTTGCAAGAGGCACTTGTTCTTTTAAGTTGGTTGTTTGGGATTTGATTTGCATTGGAAGACAAGTTTGAAATGTTAGAGACAGGATTACATTGCATCGGTAACATTCAGAGCATCCATCCTTCTAGACGGTTTTGTTGACTGCTAGCTGAGATTTCCCTGACCAGTGGCTTTCTAACACTCCCCACCCCAACCCCTTTCACCCCCAACCCAGGAAAAAAAAAAAAAAGAGAGAGAGAGAGAGCCTGAATTTTCAGAGAATTGAACAAAATGATTATCCAAGAAGAAGCAAATGGATCTTGCCCTAAGAACACAGTTTATGCCCCATAGAGTCTCCAAATCCTCCAAAACAGCACAGCCACTGGGGTGGGGCCATCTCAGGGAACTCCCACAGGTGAGCCACAGGACCAGATATAAGGCAGCTGGGGAGGACCAGGGACATCAGCCTGTGCAGAGACCAGGGCCAAAGGCTGAACTATGAAGGATACTATTAAGTCATATACTGCACAGGAACATGGTGTCTGGACAAGCTGTGCAAAGGTGCTTCTCTGAGCAAGAAGGAAATGGATGGGAGAGCCCTGCAGACTCCTCTTCATTTGCCTGACCACACTCAACCTCCTGGGGCTTGGTGCCTAGTAAGATGAGCTCAATGCTCCCATGAGCATTTTTCTCACTACTCCCATGCCATTAGTGCTCGTCACTGCATTTTAGAACCCAATCCTGAAATTAAGACATTACTTTAAACTTGTCATAACTGTAAAATTCCTCAGAAGCCAAAGCACTCTTCCAAGCCCCAGTCTCAGTTTCCTGGGTTCCTGTGCTGCCCTGGACTGACAGTACCTGGGATGAGGACCTGTTATCCCATTGGAGCCCCACCCCCGTCCCTTCACTGCAATCAAATCCCTGTTCCTGTTATAGCTATGGGCCTGGCTATCTTAGTCTGATAAACGTCTTTCCCTACTCTTGCTGTATGTTTTTTGGTTTGTTTGTTTGAAAACCTATAAAACCATTATTCTGAATGACCATTTTTAGATCAAGGAAATATATGAGCCCAGCATCTCAGTGGCTAAAACACAGAATAACCATGTATTTAAACAAAAGTTTTAAATATTCTGAAGCTCTCCAGCATAAACGCCACATAGCATGTTTTCATATAAACAAGACAGCACCATGGTTATCAAGCAGAGGTATTATAATATTGCACTGTTTGGGGCCACAGTGTGATCAGGGCAGGTTCTCAGAGAGGAATGCCCACCAGAGACCACAGGAGAGAGTCAAGTGGTGGTAGAGACGAGATCTGGTACAGCCAGACCAAGACAGGGATGCCACACAAAGACCAAGTCAGTGAGCTGGAGATTCTCAAAGGCAGGGCCTCTCTAAAGAGTCAGTATTAGGGTTGTAACCCCCCACCACATCAACCAAAAACATATAATTGTAAATGTTTACAGCTGTCTTTGCAGAGACTTTCTGAGGTGATTCTGAACTGCAGGGGAGGTTGTCTGTAACAGCTCTTGAGCTAAAGCAAGGGTTCTTAGTCTCGGCCCTCTTGACGAACAGGGCTTGATCATCGCTGGTGGGGACTGTTCTCTGAATTGTAGCTTGCTTAGCACGATCCCTGGTCACTGCCCAGTAGATGCCAGTAGCATCCTAGCTGATATCCAACACTGTCTCCCAGGTGTTCCACAGGGGCAAACCACTGATCTAAATCCTTAACTGGTAGAAAGTGTGGGAAGCTTTCCAAAACTAAAAAGCACTTGAAGCCTTTCCCAGTCAGCAGTCTCAAGCTGTACTCATGTCCTTGGAAAGTTGATGAATTCTATAGATGAGCATTGGCAAATACACTTCTTCAAATGCTTCTGAGTTCAGCTGCAAGGATGGACTTCACAAAGGTATCCCTCTTAAGTGTGGATGTCTTTGCTTCCAGAACAATGTGGCATTTGAAAGTGAAAATAAAATTGCAACTGTAATGATTTACACTGAGTAAAGGGAGAATTTGTGGAACTCCAACTGTGAACAGCTTTTGTTGGATATTCAGTTGCAGAGAAAGACTGGCCTTACCCAAATTCATATACTCCGGTGACAACCTTCCAAGCCTCCAATTTGCTGGCAGCTTTTGCTCACTCTTGTCCTTATCCGTGACAGCCACAAAATTAGCTGGTCCAAGGCAGATGGCTATAATTCCCACCCCAACCCCTGCCACTGGCATTCAGAGGTTAGAGCAGAATTGTAAATAGTGGCTTCAGGACTTCAGGAGCTGTTTTCTTTTTTTTTTTTTCTTTCTTTCTTTCTTTTTTCTTTTCTTTTCTTTCTTTCTTTTTTTTTTTTCAGAATGCTTTGCCCCTTCCTCTCACTGCCTTTTTTTAGCCAATATAACTGTCTGTTTGCACACCTTTTGTTGTGGTTTTATATTGTAACAGCATTTTTTGAAACTACTGTATTTAAGATAAGGTTTCATATTATGTCCACAAGTAATTAAATTATGTTTGAAGGTGGCTATATTCTGTATCAAAAGTTGATGATGTTTTTCTTTAGCTGGTAAAGTAGGGTTTTGCATGACCTCATTTTTTGTTCTGTGGTTTGTTCTGTTGTATGATGTGTGTCTTGCGTACTGCTGTGTGATGAAGTGTGCTGAGATTCCATGCCCTCATGTTGTGTTTTAAGTAGCTACCAGAGGTAGGAGGGTTTCTAGGAGCAGGATGACCTGTTGGTGACAGCTAGCAATCAGCATTTCCCATTCCATCTCCTCCCTGTTACCCCGCTTCCTGTCCCAGGTCCCTTCTGTGATTTGTACCTTAGTGTGCGTGTCTGTCTGTCCTGGTGAGAGTCAGGAGCATCACTGTTACCATTGCATTATCACCAAGAGCATGTCCCAGCACCAGTTGCTTCAGATACCAGCACATTCTGTTTCCAATTTAGAAACAATCACATAATAAACCGTTAGTCTTCAGTGAGGAGCAGAGGTGCTTGTTACAAAGATGGAGGTTTGCTTACCTATGTCATACTTTATGCTCTTTTCTTCTTTTGTTTGGTTTTGATTGAATTGTGACTCGTGTGACATCATCTGGCCAAAACAAACTTGAGATGAACTGATTTTATGTAGACATATTATGACGTACCATTTCTTTCTTTCTTCTTCTGTTCCAGCAATAAGAATGGAAAATACTAAAATCCAGATCTACCACACTTAACATCCATGTTCTTTCTATGTTTTTTTTACATTAAAGTGAGCCACAATTAGACTTGAGATGTATAGGCATCAAAACCAAGAAGCACACATGCATCTGGTGCTAAGGCACTCACTGTGAATAAGTGTGACCAGACATTAATATGCAATATTGTTTCCAGTCCTTTCTAATACACTTTTTTATAATGTTGTGTGTGGTGATTGTTGAGGTTAAATCTCCGTGTATCACTACAGCTTCAGATCGTCACCTCCTTGCTGGCAGGTACATGCAGAGGACTGTGAGAAAATACAGCCATCTCTGCAGCCCCGGTTCTATGGTGATGTTAAATGATCTCTGTTTAGCTGTGAACAAGTGGTTTCCACTGGAGGCATAGAGTATCTTTTTGTACACATTCTGTGTTTCTTCTGTAGTGATAGAACAAATAAATTCTACAAATGTTCTGTCTGCCCCATCCAGTGAAGTCCACACAAGTATAAAAGAAGCCCTGCCCATGTAGGAGTCTAATGTCATCTCTCAGAGACCGGCAGGTGAGCAGCACAGTCATTTAGCTCAGCTGGCTAGCGAAGGAGTCACTGGTAAGCCTTCTGAGCCCAGCATCATGATGAAATGGCGGCAGAAGAGGAGCGCCATGTCCTACCTTTCACCCCTTCCCATTTTAAATAAGCACAAAGACTATTCTCAGCATGACTTTCTGGAGCGGAGCTATCTCATTCATTTTCTTGCTTCTCTTCTGCAGAGATTTCCAGAAAACTGTTACAGGTTTTACTTCAAGGAGTATGTAAACATAAACACGGGGTCCTTCTTTCAATGTGAGCCTGGAATCAGCATTGAGGTACAGGAGGCCCAAGGTCCCTGACCCCATTTCCAGTGTTTCTCAGTCATATGTTCTATAAGCATAAAATGATGTGAAAGTCCTATGACTCCCTGGTGAAACCTCCTTGCACTCTTTGAACACATTCAGAATCTCAAGAAACAAAACTTTGGGCCCCGGGAATATGACTCAGCTGCTAAAGTGCTCACTTTGAATGCACAAAGCCCTAGGGCTCAATCCCCACAAACTGGGGGTGGTGGCACATACCTGAGACCCCATGGGGCAGAGGCAGGAGTTGAAGGTGGTCTTTGGCTCTATAGGGAGTTCAAGGACAGCCTTGGGTACCTGACACCCTGTTTCATAAAAAGAAAGAAACAAAAACTTTGGCAGTTTCTGAAAGTTGCCTTTTTGTCGTGGCTTCAACACAGAGCTGGGAGCAAAAGAGAGAATTGAGCAATTAGTGAAAGACTCAGAGGAAGTTCTCAGACGACCAAAGTGGGAACTCCATGTTCCTCCATCATTTTGGAAACTTCTGGCTCTTTCTCTGCACCAGTGCCCAAAGCAACAACTAACTGGCACATCCCCCAAGCAGAGGTGGGGTTGAATGTTGCTGTTTTCTCACAGCATCTGCCTCTTCTGTCTTTTCCCAGGCCGCTCCCTCCCTATAATATACATACCACCTCTCAGGAAACCAAAAGGGATTCCCATGGCCCCTGGAACAGCACTCACTGCCATACCCTTTGGCTTCTCTATTGCACTGTTAACCTCCACTCCTGAGCAAACACACTCTAGGATTAGCAAACAAGAGGCCCAGCTCCCAATTCATCAACCATAGTCCTGCTGGGTATCAAGACTGTGTCCCAGAACTGGCATCTCAGAAGCATTTCAGGTCCCAGCCTATCCCACCCCTATAGTTAGCTGCAGCTTCCATTGGTCACTTACTGAATACTCCGGAGCAGGGAGTATTTATTGTGGGACAATCTCACATCCCCAGACATGACATGTGGGGTCAAGCCCTCGAGCATACCAAGCACACAACTAGTTCACTGAGGGCCAGTTACAGCCTTGATTCTCTTGAGCCTAGACCCACAGTTGTGTGGATAGAGGAACAATGTCTTCCCGCATGGATCTGAAACAACCTAGGTATAGACAAAAGAATCAGGTGAGAAATGAAGATGTTCATTTTGCTTCTCACAAAAGCCAGCCTTCTGAGTGTGACCACACAGCAAGAGCAGCCAAGATGGAAGACTCACATAGCCTAACCCTCACTACCTCAGTAGTTCTGCTAGTGGAGAGCTTTACCATTCTGCCTGGCTTGTGTATTACACAGACAGAAGGCCACATGCCAGCCATCGTGGGTTTCCCTAGAGACTCCATCTAAAACAACTTAGTTCTCTGTGATTGCCCTTGTAGGCCTCCTGCCTCCTGAGTCCTGTTACTACAGTTGAACCATTATGGGTTTTCAAAAGTGATTTGTGAAAACGGGTTACTGCCCAAGTTACTGTCCCTACCCACAGATCATCAGTGGTTCCAATGAAATTCCAGAGTAGAGTACAGTCTCCTCAGCTGGGAACATGAGGAAGGCCTTTGCCTTAAAAGGCGTTCCTCTAGACATGCTCCCAAGAGTATTGTCTGGACCTTTAGAACAGGGTTCTGGAAACTACCAAGTCTGTGTTTGAATGTGCACAGTCCAAAGAAGACCAAAGAAAAAAAAGGCAAATGAGGAGGGCCTCTGAGCCAGATGTCTAGGATGCTCCAAATGACCCTGAAGGTAGATAGTAAGAAAAGATCTATGAGCAGAGGTAGGCTCTGACCTCAGGCCTACTTAATAGAGTAGGCTTGAGTGAGCTATCCCAGAAGCAGAAAGACACACATGGTATATATTCACTCATATAGACATATAATATAGGATAAACCTACTAAAATCTGTACACCTAAAGAAACTAATCAAGAGGGAGGACGCTTGCTAAAATGCTCAATTCCTATCCAGAAAGGCAAAGAGGATGGACATCAGAAGAAGGAGAAAAGAGGGAACAAGTCAGGAGCCTGACACAGAGAACCTCTGAAAGGCTCTGCCCTGCAGACTATCAATGCAGATGCTGAGACTTATGGGCAACCTTTGGGCAGAGTGCAGAAAATCTTATGAAAGAAGTGGGAAACAGTAAGATCTGGAGAAGACAGGAACTCCACAAGGAGAGCAACAGAAGCAAAAAATCTGAGCACAGGGGTCTTTCCTGAGACTGATACTCCAACCAAGGACTATGCATGGAGATAGCCTAAGACCCCTGCACAGATGTAGCCCATGGCAGTTCAGTATCCAAGTGGGTTCCATTGTAATAGGAACAGGAACTGTCTCTGACATGAACTGATTGGCCTGCTCTTTAATTACCTCCCCCTGAGGGGGAAGCAGCATTACCAGAAGAAGACAATGCAGCCACTCCTGATGAGACCTAATTGACTAGGATCAGAAGGAAGGAAAAGAAGACCTCCCCTATCAGTGGACTTGGGGAGGGGCATGCATGCAGAGGGTGGAGGAAGGGAGGGATTAGGACAGGAGGAAGGGAGGGATTGGGACGGGAGGAGGGAGGAAACCACGGGGGGGGGGGGGGGTGGATACAAAGTGAATAAAGTATAATTAATAAAGAATAAAAATAAATAAAATTAAATTTTAAAAAAATAGAGTAGGCTTTAGCAGCACAGTGTCAAAACTCAACTGGTACCAAGTTCTTGGCCAGATTTTCCAAACAAGGAAGGAAGGTCTCACTAGGATGTCTCCTGGCCTTTTCCACTTTTTAGGAGGGCCAAGAGCAGGAGCAAAGTAGACATCCTTTTGACTTCTGTCTCCCTCTCCAATGAAAACAAACTCTGCATGTCCGGAGGCAGAAAGGGGTTAGGGGGTGTTGCTCATGACAGGATTCCTCAAGCTCTTGCTCAAAGACCAAATCTGGTAGATCCTTGTATGGCAATGAGCCCCTGGTCCAGGCTCCCTTTAGCAGCAGGCACTTGGCCTGAGGCAGGGCAGATGGGCCCTGGAGATTCAGTGAATCGGCACAAAGGGAAGCAGATGTGCTCACCATGGTCCCCAGGCACAACTGGGAACCAGCCACTAGGGGAGGAAATTTGCATAATAGGGATAATTTGGTACCAAAACTGTCCCCTGAAGTGAACTGCATGGATCTCGGTATAGTTCACAAATTTCACTTCTTCTTTCCCATGTTTTCTCAAGCCAACTAGATATGAGGTAGTGTGTGTGTGTGACTTGTCCAAAGGTTTGGGGGTGGTGTTTTATTTTTATTGTTGTCTCCCTTCAAGATTTGGTCCAGAGCTTTTTTTTTTTTTTCCTTCAACCAGCCACTCCCTTATGCCCAAAGGTGAATTTCTGAAGTTTCTCAGAGACTCTCCCAAGCATGTAACCCAAATGCTCTTAC